AGAGAGAGAGAGAGAAAGAGAAAGAGATGACCATGAATTGATGGAGTTCCCTGTTGTCTGGGTTAGCACCGGCGGAGGAGGCGGCGGCGGCCGTGTACTTGGCGACGACGTGGTGGGACTGGGAGAGCTGGGCCTCGATCCTCGGCAGCTGGTCTACCGGCGTGGCGATCCGCAGGCACGCCACGTGGCCCGACAGCAGCTGCTCGAACAAGGGGTGCCCCACAATCTTCGCCTTGCACCTGGCCCTCTCCGTCTCCCCCGCCGCCGATGCCTCCTCCTCCTCTCCTGCGCCACCATCTCCCGGCGACGAGGGGAGGAGGCACCCGCGCTGGCCGCCCTGCTGCTGCGGCACCGGGGGTGGCGGCATGACGTGCGAGAACTGGTGGTGGAGCTCCTCCATCATCCGTCACCGCCCCAACACCTCTCGCGGCGACGACGTCGAAGCAGCAAACTTGGGAGAGCGACGGGGACGAGTGGAGTCAAAGGAATCCAAGATAAATATAGATGTAACGAAAGCAGGCAAACTATGCCACCATTCCTATGCTAGGTCGGGCGAATCTCTCGATGACACCCCGTCAGGTTTCAGCGATGACACCAAATCCGACATCTTGTCGGCGGCCAACATCCTCTCTCTCTCTCCTCTCCCACCGTAACACTGAAGAACTGAGAGACATAGTAGCATATATTTAACAGTAAACCACAGACTCATTCATGGGAAGGTTAGCGACATATCCTCTCTTTCTTCTCCGTCTTTCTCGGTCAATTGACTCCATTTCTGCAAAAAGTTGCTTGCATTTATTACCATGGTCTCGAAACAGATGGTCTCGAAGGCAGCAGTTCCACTCCATAGCACATCATTAAGGCATCCAGGTTCCACAATGCCAGTGACACTGCAGTAGGTAGTTGCAGTTCAGCGCGTGCCGTGCCAAAGGGAAAAGGTTCTCTCCCACTGGCGCCTCGTATCTCGTGCGGAATGATCCACCTACCTGCGCCATCGGATCACCACCACCAGCCAAGTTTCCAAACGAGGACTGATGACCGTCAGTCTGAGAGAAGGGAGGGAAAAGAATGAGACACTGAAGGTGTTGGGGAATCAGCAGCCTTGTGGGCCTTCGGTTCATTTGGACGCAGTGGAATGAGGGATCGTTCATGACGAAGAGGACTACTGTGTTATGATGTCTGGTGGGAAGGAATGAACGAAAGGAAGCAGGGCAAATGGCTCTGCTTAAAGCATCTTTGGGTGCTCGGGGAGGACGGCTTCAAGTATTCTTCATGGATCTGAGCGAGTGTGGTCCAGAAGGTGGGCACCGTAGGAGATGGCCATGGCCTTCAGCGAGGATCTAATGGGTGAGACTGAGCTATCTCTGCAGTGGCCGAGACAGATTATTCCACCTTCTGCAAATGCTGTCAGATGTTCATTTGCCAGAGCGCGTAAATTTACCGTTTAACATCAGTCAATGAGAGACGATAAAGATAAATACGATAATTATATTTTTATTTATTTATTTTAATTCTTAATCAATATATGATTTAATGATCAATCACATTTTTTTCTTAAAATCTGTATAAATATATATTACTCCAATGAATAAAATCAATACCTTTCACAACAAATTCATCATTTCTTCATACTATCACAGCTCCTCTTGTCTTAAGCAAGACTTTACCCCCTCTTTCTCCTCTTCTATCTAATCTCTACTGTGCTCAAGGATCGAGTCTTCACGTCCACAGTTAGCAGTTGTTGCCATCTCCTCTATCCCATCCTCACATTATACACATACCGCAACCATCCTCCTCTCTTGCTCCAACGAAACCTTCTTTAACCAAGAGGCCTTCTTCTCATATCGTAGCAGACGATCTATCCAGCACTCGTGTTTGCAGTAGCTAAAGTGACGAAATCTATCAACCTCAATCTTATTTGTCTCCTCGTTCTCCTTCTCCGACGATTGTGATCTACGACTTGCCTCTTGTACCTTGTTGTCACTACCAACGAGTTTGCTTCTCCAGTGATACGTAGATTTAACATGCCTCTTGCACCTTGTTGTCACCGTCGGTGATCGACAGATTTGCCACTACCACCAACCACGAGCGACTGCAATCGACGAATCATTCTCCTCCATCGATCATCATCTTGCTTCTTTCTGCTCACTAGACAACAAATACTCGCAACGATCCTATTGGTGCAAGATGCCAACTACCTATTCAATGATAGACAATGTAGCATCCAACCACATCTGACGTATATGGTGTCTTTCTCCTTCAACTCTATTCGCTCGGAAACAATGGTTCATTTACAGGACTCATATTTGTCAATACCGTAACTTTGATCCCTTTCAAACTCTCTAAAAGCAGCAACTATACATCTTAACCAGTAAAATTCATTAATCTCCTTTTTGGATATAATCTATTAGGCTATCAATGGCTCTATTAATTATCCACAAGAAAAAGATCCAAATACCTAAAGAACTCATCCCAATGGTAAATCTAGATCATAAGTTATGGCTATGATAAATTCGTTTTATTCTACAAGCCATCCAAGCCTCAATTATTGGCTCCATAGCATCACTAATCTCTTCGTGCAACATTATAGTAAAAACATGGTCCAAGTTATAAACAATATAAGAGAAAAGTGTTATTGTTAATTATATACAAAATCTAAAGGTTATTATAAATGACTTGAATTTAATAGGTCATCTCCTGAGTAATGAAGAAGTTATTGTTCATGCTCTAGTGGCTTAGTAAACGAATATGAGAAACTAACGGTAGTCATTAGGGCATGTGATTCACCAATATCATTTAAAGAACTATATGACAAATTGATTGATCATAAAATATATTTGAAACGAGAAGAAAAGATTATGTGACCAACAATCACAGCTCAATTCAATCAAAAATAAAAAAAATAAAACATAATTAAGATAGCAAGAACTTCAATAAATCACCGAACAAGATGTCTCCTGAATATATAGGTAACACACGAAGACGTCATCCTCCATTACATTATTAAAGTAACAACCATAGTGGTGACTTCAATCTAAACAATTTAGGAAATAACTTTAACTGGTTCTAACATCCTCGTAATAACAAATAGTAAAAAGTTATCTGTCAGCTCTGTGATAAAATTGGATGTGCAACAAAATTTTATCGATCTCGACCTAAGTTTATTTTTACACCCAATTGACTTCAAGCAAACATTATGACTACGCTTATCCAAGCAATTAAATTATTAACTCTGATACTTTCCATCACATCACTTTTGATTTGTAGAACTTATCCCTCCACAATGACTATGGGAGCAATGATGACATCATCATTGGTGATGATAATATAATCCATATTACTCATTCTAATTCTACAATACTTAATTCACACAAACACTTTTACACTTGATAATGCCTAGTGTGCACCTCATATTAAAAGGAATATTATTTTTTCTCAATTTTATAAATAAAATAATATCTTTATTGAGTTCTTTTTAACTCGATTCTTGTAAAGAATCTGAGCACGAGGGCATCGTTGATCCGAAGCCAAAATAAAAATAATATTTATGAGTTATCATCAACTTTATAAATCACTCAACCTATCGCTCTTGCTTTAGTTGTAGCTCTAATTGATGTGTGGCGTCCCCGCTTTGGTCATTCATTATTCTTCATTCAATAATAACTAATTTTTTATTACTCCCTTTTAACTTTCAAATCAAATAAAATTGTAACCTATTGTGATGCTTGTGTTAGTAATAAAACTTATAAACTATCTTTTAAAATGTCTTCTTCAAACAATTTAAAAGTATCTACACTAACATTTGAGACTCTATCCTAATTATTTCCTTTGATAATTTTAGATTTTATATTATTTTCATATATTACTTTACTAAATATACATAGCTATATCCTCTTAAATAAAAATATTAAGTCATCATAGTCTTTACTCATTTTAAAAATGTGATCAAGAACTTCTATCATATTACTATTAAGATAGCTTACTTTTATTGAGGAGGTGAATATCATGTGACAATAATGTACCTCTCATTATGTGATATACAATATCTTAAGTCATCACTATACACATCTCAACTAGTTAGTTTCATCGAACGAAAGCATGAATACATAATTGAAATTGGTCTCACTCTTCTATATTAAACCTATATTCAATTAACTTTTTGGTCAACAGTCCTTTAAACTAAAGTCTATCTCATTAATTGAATACTTATCTCAATCCTACAATATCAATCACCATTTAAAAAATTATTTTTATAAAATTTTAAACATTCAAAAACTCAAAGTATTTAGTTATTTATGTTATTCCTTATTATATCCCTATACTTCATATAAGTTAATACCAAGATCCAAGCCTTGCATCTTTATTGAGTACTCCCTTAAACATAATGCTTCTTGGTGCCATGATCCTCAAACTCAAATGATCTTTGTATTATGTCATATTATTTTTGTTAAGTCCATATTTTCCTTCTAAATTCTTGCTTCTTCAGCAATACTAGCCACTACAATAACTATTGATCATTAGGTTTATATGAGTACACTCCAAACCCCATCAAGCGCACCTCCCATCACATCAATCAGTAGTTCTTCTTTGGACATGTATTAATTTATTACTCCTGTTCGGTAATATCTCATCTCTTTGTAATTTCATTATCTACCCCTCCACTAAACTCACTTTATAATACCATATGAAGCAATATCCTTGGCACCACAATTAATGTCTTTATTCTCTCCTCGGCTAAGTGACACCAAAGTTTTCGACTTAATCAAACATGTGTCACTAAATCTTCACTAATTCTCATTCCTTCAACATAATCTATTAATACCATAGAGCTCAGATGTCACATGACAATACGCTCTAAAATGATATCTTCAAACCATATCAAATCCTTAATTTTCATGCTATCACAAATTCTCCACTTGAGCCTATCGAACCAGCAATCATTACCTAGGCCCAAAAATCTTTATACTAACATAAAGCTATATGTGGGGAATATGATGTCATACTCTATAATATCACATAGACACTTATACTATCTTATCTTGTATAAAATATCATCAAGTATAAGTGGATATTTCAAATTAAGTGAAACCGGATAGATTTATTGATAGATATAAAGCACGTCCAGTGGCCAAATGATTTTACCAAAAACCCAGTGTTGATTTTACAAAGACCTTCAGTCCAATTATTAAATCGATGATAATTTGACTCATCCTGAGTTTGGCTACCTCTTAAATTAATATCACATAGACTCTTGTACATTTCATCCCATACAAAATATCATCGTGTATAAGTGTATCTTTTAAATTAAGCGAAACCCAAATAGATCCATTGCAAGATATAAATTATGTCTAGTGGCCAAATGGTTTCAATAAAGACATAGTATTGATTTCATAGAGACCTTTAGTTCAGTTATTAAATTGATGATAATTCGACTCATCTTAAGTTTGGTTACCACTCAAGGTTTGCATAAATATCAACTAGATGTTAATAATAGTTTTTTACGAGAGATCTTAACTGATAATATCTTATGTAGTAACCCATTAACTTTATTTACTATCATATCCAAACTATATTTGAAAACTATAAAAAGCTATTTATGAACTTCACTGAACTCCAAGTCTAACACCTCTTTATTCCTAAGATAACAAAAGTGATATATTATATATCTACTAGTCTATATGGATGATATTATCATCACATGTAATAATTTCATAGAGATTAAGTAATTCCTTAAGTAATTAGCAAATTGATTATACATCAAAGACATAAGAATATTAAGCTATTTTCCGAGAGTAAAAGCAACATACAGATCTTTTGGACTTTTTCTATCTCAAAAGATATATATTCGAGATCTATTATCAAAGATGAATATGTAGAATGCCAAAGAAATTGTCACCTCACTCTCAACTATTGAGTCACTTAAATTATATAATGATAGCCTACTATAAATCTCACACAATATCACAATATCACAAGTACTTGGTTCCTTGCAATATTTATCTCTCACATGTTTAGATATTTTATTTATAATTAATAAATAATCAGAATTCATGCATCGACCCTCCATTGCATATTGGTCTATACTAAAATATATCTGCAGTATCTTAAAGAGACTCTTAATCATTATTTTTTTCTTTGTAAATACTTGTCACTTCATCTCCATTCCATCGTCAATGCTGGTTGGGTAGGCAACACTGATGTCAGAACATCTAAGTTAGTCTGCATTGTCTACCTTGGAGCAAATCTTGTCAGTTGAAGTTCTAAGAAATAGAACACAATTGCAATATCCACCATTGAAGTTGAATACTGAACCGTCGCCACTACTATTGTAGAATTCTGAATAAACTAATTTGCATGAACTTAGTATCACCTCCTAATTCACTCCTATAACATAATATGATAATGTTAGTACAATCTATCTATGTGTTAAAGATCAAAATGTCATCCACTTTCACTTTGTGAAAGATCAAAATGTCAAACGTCAACATGTTTCTTACGTTTACACTTCTAACTATTTAGTGGACTCAATTACAAAACCTCTCGTTCGTAAGATATTTTAATTGCATCGATTCAAGATTCACATCAAAATTCAATATTATGAAGGCATAATAAAAGATTATAATAGAGACAAATATGAAATAATAATTTTACTTTTCTTATATATTTTAATTCTTAATCAATTTATAATTTAAGAATTAATCATAAATTTAAGTATCTTAATGAGAAGAACCTCTCCTTCAAAATCTAATTACTCCGATGAATAAAATTAATAATTTTCACACCAAATTACTCACTTCTTCACTTATCATAATACTAAACAAAAAATAATGTTAAACAGTGTTGTATTCGATCTTTGTCTCTTTCTTTCACTGTTCCCAAGATCCCCTTTGCTGCTGCCTCTCGATCGCCACGTTCTTGTTCCTTGTCTCCAAGCTTCGTTAAACCCAAGGCCGGAGATCTCTAAGCCATACATGCAGCTGAGCTTGGAGCAGCGACGCTAGATCGAGTATAAATGAAGCCATGATGCGACACAATCCGAGGTCGTCGAGCGAGTGCGAGAGCGGCCGGGGGGAGGAGGACGCGATGGCCGCCGGATCAGCTGAGAGACTACTTGGCTGCATCCCCGCCTCGAACTCGCACATCGAGCAGCGGCCCTACCACCGAGACTGCAAGTGCGCCTTGCATCACCTCAAGGACCGTTCCAAGGCTTGTCCACGCAGCAGCAGTATGATATCGTTCCTGGTTCGACGCTCATGGCGCCGACATGGCATCAGCTCGGCAGCAAGCTTTGCGCATTCCACTCCTTTGCAAGCTGCCAGGGGCTTCTGTCGGCGGGGCACGGAGGAGGAAGATGGGTTCCATGTGAAGCAGTAGTAGCTTCTCGCTAAGCAACGAACATATTTCAATCTGCATGTCTACTTAAACCCATTAATTAGAATACTGCACTTCTGATGCCCATCGCAGTATGCTATTTCGAACGATGCTGCAACGCTGCAATCATGATCTTGCATTGGGGAAGAACCGATCATTTGCTTGATGTGATTAGTCCTCTTTGCCTGCTGTGTGCTCTGATTGATACAAAAGATGATTGAGAAAATGACTTGCAGACTGGAGCATGATGTTTAATGGAATTCTACCACCTAATTAGGCAGCTGCAAGGTCAAGCTGTCATGTACAGGCCTTAGGAATTTGACCTAACACCAGCAAACAAAACATTGAATCAGGCATTACGACTAAGAGAATTATGCACAGATAACAAGTTAGGTAAGAACAATGTCAATGTCAATATTCATGGAGAAAAAAAGAATACTACAGTTTGGCCAATTAGATCGACTGTTCTTGTCTTCTCGAATGGGCGAACGTGGTGACTGCTCGTCCATGGAGGGGCTTGAAACTTAGTGATTGGTATCAGCTGAACATGTCAACAGCACATGTATGCATTATAAGCTTTTGACAAAGAATAGTATCGCCATGGATGACATTATTTCTCATGCCAACCCCCACGTCGCATGTTATGAACTTGTCCTCAGGTTGCATGTAAAACCAGTGAGAGGAAGAAAGTTGTCGTATGATTACATATGCTGCACTGCCTAATCTAATTCTAAAACCTCCATTTTGTAAGAGATTTGTATCAGTCATGTAAGCATTTGGTTGTCGAAGTTTTCCAAGCAAACACAGAATAAAATACTCATTTTTTATAAAATATATGTATAATTCTTACCATCATCATTAATGCTTGACATTGACTACAGCCTTTAGCAGTGAATGATATTTCACTCTACGAGGTTTCATATGATAAACTTAAATTTATATGAATAAATATTAAAATCACCGATATCAAGGATATATATATATATATATATATATATATATATATATATTAAACAAGGAAATTAGATTAGAAAGGATTGAACTCAGTCCATATTCAATGAGCAGATCGGATCGGTTCCCGGTTGGACCGGATCTGATCTAGATCAGACCAGATCAGATCAGACCAATCGACCGCACACTTTTTGATGCATGCACATGTTTATGGCCGTCACATACAATCACATTATATACACACATATGGGGAGTTGCGCAAAGTCACATGGGCATTCTGGGAATTCGGACGCCCACAAGTCTTCATCTCCACCTCGACCGGGAACCCAACAAAGGAACTATAAAGACGCGTCGCCCTCTCCCTCCTTCTCAGATCTCCCTGCCCTCATCGTCTAGTTGAAGGCGCTTGCACACAGGTCAGATCTGTTCTCTGTTCTCTTCTAATCCATCCTTGTTTGATTTGTTTTCCTCTATGTTTTTCTATTTTGATAAGATTTTTCCTTCAGATTTGATGCGCATTTGTACATCGAACTCCTAATGCCACGCAACGCTGAGATCTACTCTTTCTGATCCGGTTTCTGTCTGAATTCTCTCCAGATCTGTGAACAAAAGCCCATCTCCGATGGGTTTCGCTTCCGGATCCGCCGCCAAGATGGGATTTTTCCGCAGATTTGGCCTCTGGTTGCTCTTCTCGTCCCTCGCGGACCTCCGTTCCGGCGACGGGTTCTACCTCCCTGGTAGCTACCCGCACGAGTACCAGGTCGGCGATGCCCTCTCGGTGAAGGTCAACTCGCTTACCTCCATCGAGACCGAGATGCCCTTCGGCTACTACAGCCTCCCCTTCTGCCGTCCCCAGGAGGGCATTAAGGACAGTGCCGAGAACCTCGGTGAGCTCCTCATGGGCGACCGCATCGAGAACTCCCCTTACCGCTTCAAGATGTTTACCAACGAGTCCGACGTCTTCCTCTGCGGATCCAATCCCCTCTCGTCCCAGGACTTCGATCTCCTCAAGAAGCGGATCGACGAGATGTACCAGGTCAATGTGATCCTGGACAACCTTCCGGCGATCCGGTACACGAAGAAGGACGACTACGTCCTCAGATGGACGGGGTACCCGGTCGGAGTCCGGGCTGGTGACGCCTACTACGTGTTCAATCACCTCAAGTTCACCGTTTTCGTGCACAAGTACGAGGACGCCAATGCGGCGAGGGTGGTCGGCAGCACTGGAGACGCCGCCGACGTGATCCAGACGACGGGCAAGTCGGGATCCGGCAAGCCTGGTTGGATGGTGGTCGGATTCGAGGTCGTGCCATGCAGCTTCCTGCACAACGCGGAATCGATCAAGAATGTGAAGATGTACGATAAGTATCCGGCCAAGATCCAGTGCGATCCTATCACCGTGGCCATGAAGCTGACCCAAAACCAGCCAATTGTCTTCACCTACGAGGTCGCCTTTGTCGAGAGCGACATCAAATGGCCGTCTCGATGGGATGCTTATCTGAAGATGGAAGGAGCCAAGGTTCATTGGTTCTCAATCCTCAATTCGCTAATGGTGATTGCATTTCTAGCTGGCATTGTTCTCGTGATCTTACTCAGAACTGTCCGGAGGGATCTCACCCGGTACGAAGAGCTCGATAAGGAGTCACAAGCACAGATGAATGAGGAGCTCTCTGGGTGGAAGCTTGTTGTCGGGGATGTCTTCAGGGCTCCAGACCATCCATTACTGCTCTGTGTGATGGTAGGTGATGGGGTGCAGATACTTGGCATGGCAATCGTGACCATCTTGTTCGCTGCGCTTGGATTCATGTCCCCTGCATCTCGTGGAACTCTCATCACGGGAATGCTGTTCTTCTACTTGATTCTTGGAATTGTGGCAGGGTACTTTGCCGTTAGGATTTGGAAGACAATCAAATGTGGGGATCACTCTGGTTGGGTTGGGGTCTCATGGCGTGTCGCTTGCTTCTTCCCGGGTATTGCCTTCTTGATCTTGACAACATTAAATTTCCTGTTGTGGGGCAGCCAGAGCACCGGGGCAATCCCAATTTCCTTGTTCATTGTGCTCCTCTTGCTCTGGTTCTGCATCTCGGTTCCACTTACTCTTACTGGTGGTTTCCTTGGTGCCAAGGCACCCCACATTGAGTACCCTGTCCGTACTAATCAAATCCCTCGCGAGATCCCTCCACAAAAGTATCCATCATGGTTGCTGGTCATTGGAGCTGGGACTCTACCCTTTGGTACCCTGTTCATTGAGCTTTTCTTCATAATGTCAAGCCTTTGGATGGGCCGAGTCTACTATGTTTTCGGCTTTCTCTTAGTTGTGTTGATTCTCCTCGTTATCGTGTGCGCTGAGGTTTCTCTAGTACTTACCTACATGCACATATGTGTGGAAGACTGGAAATGGTGGTGGAAATCATTCTTTGCTTCCGGCTCAGTGGCTCTATATATCTTCTTATACTCGGTGAACTACCTGGTATTTGATCTTAAGAGTTTAAGTGGCCCGGTCTCTGCCACCCTTTACCTTGGCTACTCACTCTTCATGGTCATTGCCATCATGCTTGCTACTGGTACAGTTGGATTCATTTCATCCTTCTGGTTTGTTCACTACCTCTTCTCATCTGTTAAACTAGATTGAGCTACATTGGCAGCAAGGGATTTTTAGCGAGGATGAACTTGAGTAATTAGCAGATCTGATACAAATTTGAAGAGCATAGAATCTTCTTCGATTTGTCTTCAATGGGAAGCTTGGAAAATCTATAGGGAAAATATTACCTTATATGCTTGTTCTTCTTAGTTGGTGATAAATGTAGCTGTTGCATTTTGTTACCTGCATTTTGGGAACTCTTCAATTTGTCGTAGAGTATATCTGTTGAATTATCAGTTCATTTACTTTGTCTCGTCTTTTTCTCTTTCATATGTTAAGCTGTAAACTTATTCAACTAATGCACCTTGTTTGAAGAATGAATACCATTTTGCTGCATTTAAATTTCTTAACTCCTGTAGTTCTTTACGTTTTGTATGTACCCTACAGATCTTTGAGCTCAGTAACTGCAAATCTTTAAAGCTCTTTTTTGTTTCATTTGTTCTACTGCACTGTCATTATGGTTGGTTCTTTTGTGAACTCTGTAGCATGAAGACCTCATCATGTTTGTCTTCTGCATTAGTATCATTCATTTGATAGCTTTTTTGCTGACTTATTCATATTCAGTACATCTTAGAAACCTGGCTGCTATTCCTAAACAAGTAAATGAAATGAAATGGCATTTTGTTTATTGTTCCCAAGAAGTTGCTTGTATTATAACTAGCCTTCACTATTCTCGGAGGTGACACTAATTGGAAAATGACAACAGTAAAGGATTCAAAGTTCCATCACTAAATAATAATTTTCAGATGGCTAAAAGAATTGGCAGTTTACACTGCATGATCTTGCAGTTTTAGAAAATTTTAGGTCTAAGCCTGCTATCCTTTCAGTGTTTTGATGTGGACTTGGGATATAAAACTCTGGAAGCATGACCATGTACAGATATCCAGATTCACAAAGCTTCGCGCTTCTATTCTTGATGGCCTGTATGGAGCATTCTACAGCAAGGACATTTTCTGCTCCTGTGGCTGAGACCTTTGAGTTCAGGTATGCATTCGAGCTTTGTGCTTCTGTCCTCTTTTCACGAGGGCTATTATCTGGATTAAACAACCCGATTGAGCCAGAAACACTGCATGCAGAATCCGTAATTAATGCAACAAGTGGACGATCCAAGTTTGTCTTCATTCTGATTTCCTTTTGTCATATTGTGTTTGATCTCCGAAAGATCATGATCTGATTTTTTTGCTAGAACCTCTGGTCCTCTCATTTTTGTATGACTGGTGAAGCAGTCTCATTTCCTATCCCTCTATCATCCTTTTTTTCGACTAATAGAAGTTTTTCCTTTCTTTTTCTTCAGAAGGAAAACAACCTAATCGAACCTTCGAGTTCAGATGCCTGCTTCTGTCAGCAGCTACAGAACTTGTGGCATCAGCATTTTTCTGTTCCTCATAGGAATCTGCAACATCAATTCTTTGGACATTTTGTATGCTGCTGCATGGTCCTAAATGCAATTGTTTGATGCCAATATAAACATACAACCCACACCTAATTCAAATGACCTACATGGTAGAATGTAATGAGTCTGGAAATGTTTTATCTCTTGGCAAAACTAGCTTTTATATAACTATTTATGAGAATTTTGTTGCTATTATCACCTTATTCAATCCTCATATATGTTTCTAAGTAAGGACTCTGCAAGTTCTGAAGTTTATGACAGCTTCTGCCTACTAGTAAGGGTCAAGTATGTACGAGAAATTCTCTGGACAACCTAAGAGGTAAAAAACTCCATTAAGCTGTTTATGATCAGCCTCATTGACATGACTACAAAGCATTAATATGTTACAGATGAATCTTGTAGTTCAAGACAAGAGCAAATTCATTATAAAATAACTATTTTTCTGTTTTTATAATCACAAAAGAAAGTGCATCTGGTATGGTATGAATATATAGTTCCATGCATCAAATAAATCTCATTGAAATGGAGTTATGCTCATTAAAACATGTAACAGTGAATAGTATGCAACAATATATTAATGTCAATGCAGTAGTTTGTTCTGTGATTGTTGTTCAAGAATATGTTTATTCAAACTTGTCACCACAACACATTCATTTGTTACAAATTTTCTGGTTACAGATTCTGTGTATGAATGTTTGGTGTTGGGTTTTGTATTCTTTGTGGTTGTCATTGTAAAAAAAAAAGTACGAAGATTGATAATGAATATATTAACGAACAGTCAACATTCGATATATAAGCGTCATATGGAAGTTATGTGGAAGGAGAGAGATCCAACTCACCCTCCCACGGGGTTGTCTCCTTCAACACGTGGTATAAAAGGTAATTTTTGATATTTCACTGGGGAGCTCTCTTCTCGAAAATGAATATCCAATAAGTCCTCAGTAACTGACTTGAATGTCAGAGGGATCGAATCGTAAAATTTTTTTGGACATTAGTTTTAGTGTAGGTGGTGCCTCAAGAGCTCGATGCTTTCATCTTGGAAATACACATGACAATTATATGTCAACATCTTGTACTTCTTGCACTAAATATGAAGATTTAGAATCATCTAATCTTAAACTTAAAAATAAGTTAGTTCAAAAATCACTAGAATTATATGCTTTGAAAAATATAAAAAATATATTGTCATGAATGAACAACTAGAATATTACTGGAGTCTACTGATAATAATGATGTAATATAATCACTTAAAAAGGAAAATATATTTCTATGATAAATAGTAAAAATTTTTAAAATTTAAAATATCTTTTAATGTGATTCTTGCTAAGCAAGATTGTGTATTTAGAAAAAAAGTATTAGTTTCATAGCATACATTGAAAGCCAATTAAATTTATAAAAGGAGTCACACTATATATTCCTCCTAAAGCTAAATGCTAACTTTTATAGAAAGTTTGGTCATTATGTTTACACATGATCTTTTAAGAAATATAATCATTTTAAATTAATTTGAGTTCCTAAATGAATCATAAATAATTTGAAGCTAAAAGGAAAAAATAGGTAGATGTAACCATGAAGGACCCAAAGTTAAATGGGTACCTAGAACAAACATTTTTTTTTTATAGATATGTCTTCAAACAAGAGCTAGGAGTAAAAGATGCATAATAAATATTCAACGCATATGATCTGAGATCCTATAAACTTCTCAAAGCTCATTGGCGAGATGAAGGAAATATTACCTTCAAAGATAACAATAAAAAAAAATCATTAGTATTAAAAATATTAGTAACAAATTAAATTTTTTAATTAAAAATATATTTATAGTAGATGATTTGAAACACAACTTAATAAGCATTAGCCAACTTTGTTATCAGAGATATAATATTAAATTTGAATCTCATGATTGCATCATAAAAATGTCAAATACTGATAAATCTATGATAGCTTTAAGAAGTGATAATATTTATACTATTGATCTTATTGATTTTCATGATGCAATTTGTTTTTTAATTTTGAATGATGATGTATGGCTATGGTATAGGAGACCAAGATATACTAGTATGAAATTAATTTTATAAATTGGAATTAAAAAACTTGTGAGAGAAATGCATAAAATTAAATTTGTTAAAGATAAAATTTGTGACGCGTGTCAACTAGGAAAACATATATGGAGTAGCTTCAAACCTAAAAATTAAGTAAGTACATCTATACCATTATAATTAATTCATATGAATTTATTTAGACTAATTGATATTATAAGTCTAGGGGTAGTAAATATGCTTTTATGATTATTAATAATTATTGTATATATACTTGGATATACTTTTTAACCTATAAAAATAATTATTTTAAATAATTTATTAAATTTTATAAATAAGTTTAAAATGAAAAATGTTTTATGATTTTCTCTATTCATACTGATCATGATGGTGAATTAAAAAATTATGATTTTTTTAAGAATTTTATGATTTAAATGAGTATAATCATAATTTTTCACTTGAATAAATCTGTAATAAAACAGAGTTGTTGAGAGAAAGAATAAGAGCTCACAAGATGTGATAAGGATCATGCTTAATGAATATAGTTTATTTAAAAGTCCAAGACAAGCCATTTAGAACTATCGCCCACATGTACAAAATGCTAGAGAGAGGACGTCGAGGTAATTACGGGTTATCTCCTCCAAGATGTGGTATAAAAGGTAATCCTTGGCGTTTCATCAGGAGGCTCTCTTCCTGAAAAAATGAATACTCACTACGTCCTCAATAACTGACTTGAACGTTAGATGGATCGAGTCAAAAAATCTCTCCCGATATCGATCTTAGTATAAGCGATGCCTTGAGAGCTCGATGCCCCCACCTCAGAGCCACTTCAGAGTCATCTTGGTACCACTTCGAATACTTTTATATCTTTAGGTTTAAGACCATATCAGGGAGATTATGATACTGAGATGGTAAAACTGTTTGCATACTTAAAAGAGTGCATGAAGCAATATGTTTGCTCATGTCACAATCCTTGAATGGAGCTGATCTAAGTTACATTGGAGGTATATGTTTGCTGAACCTGGTTATGGTGATGGCATACTATTGATGCTATTTATTTGCAAGTGTAAGGGTCATGCTTCATGAAAGTGTTAAACAAAACCAAATATTGACTAGTGGTAGAAATAATGAATGATCAGATTTGCTGCAATAATATCATCAGTCTCACATAAAAAATTATTTAATTAATATATTTTATCATTGACTTATCAAGTATTTTGAGTCAATGATTGAGACAACAAATCCATGGATCAATTATTCTATCTGGTCATATTACAACAAAGGGTTTTAATGTTGTTGGTATAGAAGATTAGGTTGGTTTTGATATTAATAAGTATAAATTTATATTTTAATTTCTAAATAATTATTAATTACAAATAGGTTGCTATCAAGTTGGTTCATACATTTTGATCCCTTGAGGATTTATAATTACATATAAGTCCTTTGGATTAAGAAATGTAAAAGTTTTTACCTTAAGACCTTAGAAAAAATATTTTTTTTAAAAAAATATTATTTTATATTTTTAATTTTTTAAAAATTGTTATTTATAAATAGATCCTAGTTGGTATAAATATTAAATTTCCTTAATATATTAAATTTATTACACCAATGACCAAACTACATCATATATTAACAAAACCTGAACCTTTAGATCATACTGATGTGAGAGCCAACCACCCCCACTTGACTTCTCTTCACCCCATTGCTTGACTTCAAACCAAACTCTGGATCACAAACCAATCGACTTGGAACTCAGGGAGAGGAAGGAGAAATAATACTCGAGTCATTGACCAAGCTTCTGGGGTGCACTCCCCGAGCTCGTCTCTCCACATGCTGTGGCCGCTGCCGGCCATGAGTTCTCCATTCATTAACGTGGTCTTGTTTTATCCAAGCAGCCACTCGGAGCA